CTGAAATCATGTAGCGTGCGTCTTCCGGCACAATCTTAAGGCGTCACTGGAGTTTAACGTATTTATATTATAGGCTAATAATCACATTTAGTTCCTTGTTTTTGTCTGCTAGGCTACTGCCAATGCCATCAGGCCAGTTGAGTTTAATTTAAAGATAACAGTAGCTAGGGAGTCGGATATGCAGGTGTGTGGCTTTTTGCAAAACTGGAAATGTGCAAGGGCCAGGGCAGAAGATAAAATAGGGCAATGTTTTAATTACTTTTTTTTGGCTGCCTACAAACCTACGTGGGCAGATGGCAGCTTTTTTTAAAGCACTGCCATGACTGTCAGGCTGGACAGAACATTCTAAAAGTGTCAACAGGACAACTAAGGTCAAAGAGCGCTTGATAATAATATCGATAATGACGATGCAATGCTTATTTACTTATTTATTTATTAAATCTCTGTTAGACATCTCTTATGAACAAAATCCAATTGATGTATTTGGGTTTTGGTGTAGTCTCAACTAAAACTGTATAATTTTTAGTTTTACTGATTTTGCGGTGCAACTGAAATGTACTGCATTATGGTGTATGTTATCTTGTCATGAAATACAGTGAAGCATCTCTTTCCAGTGTTAGAATGACTAAAGTTATACCGCAGATACATGTTTCCACTTAAAGCATGATGTGATAGCTTCTCATGTTTTTCTGTACCATTTCCCAACCAAACATACAGTTTGATTTCCCAATGCTGCACCTTCAGAGGCTGCCAGACTTTCTTTTTGCTGCGCTCCTGCAATGCAAACCAGTTCAGCATACCAGTGATAGACTCACGCTCTGCTTCTTTTGCCCCATGAATGTAATACAAAAAATGATGGAAACCAGTATTTTTATATATTTAGATCAAACTAAATATAATTTTGTAGTATAATGTAAATCTAGTCCATTCTGTTACAGCTGTGGATGCAACAGGGTTATCCCTTGGTCTTATTTGTCTTCTTGCTGTTTTATCTTGATTGTTTTGGCAGTGACAATGATAACAGTGGGGATGGTGTTAACCTATGTATATGTTTATCTTTTTTATTATTGACTGTTCGCTGTAAGACAACTGATCCATGTATGATACTAAAACTTCAGGGTACTCTACTGATGAATGAATCAAATGATATTATTGTCAGTCTGTACACAACCTAAGCTACAGCTGCTGACAAATTCACATTGAGGATGCTTTGATAGCATGCTTACACTCTGGGGGAAAATGAAGTGGCACCTATAAACTAGTAATGATACCCAAGTGAAGCCACAGACTGAGAAACAAGCCTTTCTCTGAGTGAAGAATTGACCAAGTGTATGGTTTACACCAGTA